CACTCACTCACTCACTCACTCACTCACTCACTCACTCACTCACTCACTCACTCACTCACTCACTCACTCACTCATTCCCTCACTCACTCACTCACTCATTCACTCACTCGCTCACTTACTTACTTACTTACTTACTTACTTACTTACTTACTTACTTACTTACTTACTTATTTACTTACTTACTTACTTACTCTCTCCCAATACCGTCAGGTACAAAAGGTGGAAAGCAGTAGACACAACGCTTGCCTGTCCCTGGCCACGTTCTCCAATGTTGGCACATCCAAGCACTGGGTGGTTTCCTCAAAATTAGTCTGTATAGCTTCCAGTTGGTCTTCCTCGTCTTCTTTTTCCAGCTGGTCTCCAACACCATGCCTGATAGGGCAATCTTGTCCTCGGTATTCTTAGAACATATCCTAAAACTGTCCATCTTCTCCTTCTTATGGTCGTTTTAATATCTTCAATTCCTGCTCTTTCCATCACTTCTTTATTTGTAATGAATCCATTATATTTTATTAGTAAAATTCTTCGTAATTATTTTGTTTGGAATCTTCTTAATTTTCGTTGAATTGCTTTGTTTGTTTTCCATATCCCTGAACCATAAGTCAATACGGCCAAACCATTGCTATGTTTTATTTGTAAAATTTCGTTCATACATATTAAGTCTTCGGTAGATTTCGTCTAGGCAGTCTGCAGTGTTGGATATAATGCTGCCAAGGTACTTGGATTTATTGATTTCTGCAAGGGGTTCTCCATAAAGAGTGATCGGAGTAGTTTTTAATGATAGACGAAGAACTTCTGTTTTAGATACATTTATTATAAGGTCAACCTTTTCAGCCGCTTTTGCCAGTTGGTTGGGTTTTTTTAAATTGCTTTTCCTGTACCTTGGTGTTAAATAGGCAGATGCCATCCGCAAAATCTAAATCCCCCACATATGTGCCATTTGTCCATCTAACGCCTGTTCCAATGTCTTTGCTCTGCCTCATAACAAAGTCAGTTAGGGGGCTCTCGTGGCCTAGAAATTGTCTCCTTTGACCTCCTTTCCTGCTCTCTAGCAATGTTCTGTTGTCTGCTTACGTTTTCACTTTCTGCCCCCACCCCCTCACCTCCTTTGCCCCTTCCTCTGGGCTCCTGACTCTTTCTGTAGCATTCCTACTGCTACTCCTTCTCTCCTCCTAACTGCTGTCTTTCTGCCACACCCCTGATCTTCTGGTAAGAAAGATCTACACCTAGCCTTCTCGGACAAGGGTGAAAAATCTCGAAGGCCCCATGTGCAAGTTGCGCACGTTAAAGATCCCTTGGTGGTCTAAAATCGATAAGAGTAAGCCTCGGCCGCCACCCTGGCAAAATTCAAAATGCCCTACCAATTGAAAATATTAGGTGTGTCGTGCGCGCTCATAAGACCTAATGCAGTTGCGAGCGCCGTAAAAACACGTACCAAAACAAAATTCAGTTACAATTCCAAAATGTACAGGTGATAATATGTAGCTTTGTTTAACTCAAGTATTTGTTTTGGAAGGTGTGAATAGTTCTCCTTCAGCTATGACGCAGCAACGTCACACACACACACACACACACACACACACACACACACACACACACACACACATGCACACACACTTGTTATATCCTTATTTTTGGTTAGTGTTTTACGGCTCTAGCAACTGCATAAGGTCATATGAGCGCGCATTGTTATATCCGTAACTCTTTCTCAGACTCTTAAGCAAAATACATGCACGAGTATTTGTTTGTTACATGATTTTCGGTCATGTTCACAACATCCATTAAAACATTATCTTATGCACTGCGTGTTTGAAGATTTCAATTTGGAAAAGCTGTAAAAACACTGAATTAAAAACTAGTGGTTCTGTGAAATGAAACAATCATAATGTAATAAATAACTCGAGAAAGTCAAAGGAAGGCTATCACACGATGAGACAATTTTTACAAAGAAAAGAGCGGAAAAAAGAGAAAAATAAAACACACAAACTACTTGTCTTTTCCTTTCCATAAAATAATATCACCAAGATCTAGTATATAAACATTCTTTACCAAAGGAATCTCAGACGCCCTGCACAGAAAAGATTCTAATAACTTTTCGATATTTATTGTTACATAATGTGAGGCAGTGTGGTGGAATCATGCTCTCGTCCAAATAATCAAGATTTAAAAAAAACTGCATTTTTCCACAGGTTTGTAAATTTTTATCAAATTTTGTTTTTTTGTCCAACACCTTTCATGCCCAATAAAGAACTCATTTATGTTCGAATTTTTCTGAAAAACGTTGTTTAAAGGCACAAAAAATGTAAATTTTCAGTTACCGAGGACTTTTAATCTAAAGAAATAACTAATCTTTGGCGGCCATTTTCTCACTTATTTTGCCTCTGAAAATAGGTGACCCCCGACCTCCTTCATTCACAAATATTTCGACTTGTATCCAAGATAAATGTATATTTTTTCATCCAAATAAAGACAATTGAACAAGCTTTAAGATGATACCAATAGCTCGACATGCTCAAAAATTGACGAGAGCCTGATTCCACCACGCTGCCTCACATATTATTATTATTATTGTGTCACAGCACACTGGAATCAGGCGCTCACCAGCGTATGGGTATGCAGAGTTGTTGGTTTAAAGCTTGTTCAATTTGTCTTGCATGGATGAAATAATGCTCATCAATCTTGAATAGGAGTCGAAATGCAATTTTAGAAGGTGGAGTCATCTGGTGTCATAAATAAACAGGGAGAGAATGGCTGCCAAAGTTTAGAGACTTTCAATGCGTGGCGTGTGTCCTTATAAAGCGCAATGTTGCATTTTTTAGGTACCTTTCAACATTGTTTTCAAGTAAATCAACCCAGAACTGTGTTTGTAATTGGACATAAACGGTATTGAGCCAAGATTTTATACACATTGATAAAAATCCACCCAACAGGCGAAAAACTGGTCGTTTTCTTCGATTTTATTATTTTGATGAGAGCCTGATTTCATCATGATGCCACATACTTATTCTCATTGCAGGCACGCGAGGTGAAAACCAGTACGAAGAGATAGATTTGGACAAAGTCTCGATTCAGGACATTCACCTCCCAGCTCTGGTCGGAAAGTCTTTGCCGAAAACAACCAAACCCGTTTGTATGTGTTCGCAGCAAATTTCTCTTTGTAGAGATTCTGTAAGATGCTATCTTGTGCTACAGATGCATAGGGGTTAGGCCGAATGGGCAAGGAACTTCTCACATCGTAGTTTCCATAAATGGATTGGGGGCAGGCAGGGGATATGGGTGGAGGTAGGGTTTAAAAGCCGAGTGGCTGTTCGGTTTTTTTGTGGGTTTGTTCGGTAATTGTTTTACGGTGCTCGCAACTGCATAAGGTCATATTATGAGCACGCAGGACACTTAAACTGTTTCAGTTGGTAGGAAATTTTATTTTTGCTAGGATGGAGCCCAAAGCCTACTCTTATCGATTATAGACCACCAAGGGATCTTTAACGTGCTCAACTTGCACACGGGACCTCCGAGATTTTTTGCCCTTGTCCGAGAAGGCTAGGTGTTGATCTTTCCAACCAGAAAATCAGGGGTGTGGCTGAAATACAGAAGTAAGAAGGAGCCAAGGAGTAGCAGTAGAAAGGCTGCAGAAAGAGTCAGGAGCCCAGAGGAGGGGGCAAAGGAGGTGACGGGGTGGGGGCAGAAAGAGGAGACGAAAGCAGACGACAGAACATGGCTAGAGAGCAGGAAAGGAGGCGAAAGGAGACAGTTTTAGAGAAGAAAATGTTTCCGTCGCTACAAGGATTCGAACCCGAAACCTTTGAAAGAGAGGTGAACACCTTAACCTCTAGGTCTCGAGAGCCTTATTCGTTCTTTTGAAATGTTCAGGTTCACACTTTGTCCTATTTACTGCACTGTCTGTTTTGATAGAAAAGAAACGGAGAGTCTTGTTACTCTTGACTACTTGCCACTTTCAGGCTAGCCTGTAGCCCAGTTGGTATCACGCTGATGTATAGAGCAAATGGCCCTTATTCAAATCCTCAACCTGGCACTCTAACAGTAGGTTCTTAAACGAAATGTTTGTATTGCTCTCCACCAAATTGGCTCGGTGCTATGGCGGATTCTCGTTAAATTTGAAGGTTCTTCCTCTTAAATAACCTACAGTATTATAAGTGTTGTGAAACCTATACAATTTCACAATTCCTTTCCTCGTGTCTCCATCCACAGGCCGCCGAGAAGAAAATGCGTACGTGGACATAGATGCGGACAACTTATCCTCACAGGACATTTCTACTCCGGTTCTGGTCGGAAAATCTTCATCAGGAAAAACGAAACCCATCAGTATGTATTCATATTGGAACATCAAATTTCTCTTTAAGGAGATCTTATCTTATCTTATCTTATCTTATCTTATCTTATCTTATCTTATCTTATCTTATCTTATCTTATCTTATCTTATCTTATCTTATCTCGAGAAGAAGATTGATAGAGATTGGGGAGATTAGGCAGGGAACTTCTCACATCGTAGTTCTCATAAAGGGTTTTAGTGGACAGGCAAGAGATAATACATACATGGATTCAGGGAGGTTTTAAAGTAGAGGGTAGGATGAGTATAATAAGTTGTTGGGTTTGTTTGGGTTTTTTTGTTCACGTTCACAATTTGTCTCTATTTATTGTACTATTTCTGTCCTAAGAAAAGAAAAGGGGGATCTTGTTACTCTTCACTACTAATTGCTCCGAGAGTGCACCTTTAGCTCAGTTCGTATCATCCTGAATTAAAGAGCAGATGACCGAAGCTCGAATCGTCAAGGTGGTGCTCTGAAAATAGGTTCTTTAGCGGAGTTTGTACGGCTCTCCACCGAATTGGCTCAGTGTTATTGCGGATACACGTTAAATTCGGAGGTCCCTCCTCTTAAATTTAATAACCTTACAAAGTTGAAAATGGAGCTAAATCTATGAAATTTCCCAAATTCTTTCTTCGTGTCTCCATCCACAGGCCGTCAAGAGGAAAGTCCGTACGTGGACGTGGATTTGGAGCACATATCGTCGCAGGACATCCAAACCCCGGTCCTGATTGGAAGAACCAAGGTGGAAATCATTACACCTGACGCCACAAAGACAGACGGTGAAGGGAGACGTTACGACAACGTACTGGTGACGTCACCGGTGTCAAGAGCAGGACCAGGAGGTCAAGGTCAAAGCATTGCACATTGAATAACTTGTTTATGGCTGTGGCTAAATTTCTTCTGGTGCCAAGGCTTGACTTTAAAAAAGAAAATAAAAACACAAAAAAATAACGAACAAAAACCCAACCAACGTTGTAAAAGAAGATGGAAATAATTTTAAGTGACCATAGCCACCCACTGACATCGAAATTTCAATTATCGATTCGCAGTAAAGGATACATTTCCAAAAAAGCAAAAACAGACAGATATAGAAATGCATTCATACCAACTGCAGTGAAGTTATTGAATACACAGTGCTACAAATGAAACATACGCAGTAAATTCTTTGAGAAAAAAAAAAGGCACGAAGAGAAGCCAGTTTAAAAATGAAATTTTGACTTCTTTGTCATAGAAGTAAAAGGATTAGGGGCCCGATTATTCTTTTTTCTTTGCACTTTTCAATAATTTATTAAGATAAAAAACTAGAATTGGGATCTGATGGTGAGTAGATATTTTTTATTGTGACTTTCTACAAAGAATTTGGACTCTTGTCCTCATTTATTATGGGGTATGAGTGAGAATTTTTAAGAAAGGAACTAAAGCATACACATTGGATGACGTAGATATAAACTGGAAAAGGGAAAATACGAAAGAAGCATAATATACATTGTGAGTGTGAGGCATTGTGGTGAAATCAGGCGCCCGTCAAAATAACGAAATCCTAAAAATTATCCTTGCTCTTACAGTTCGGCAGTGAAATCGAATTTTTTTTTTCGGCTCGACACCTATTATGTTCGTTTAAAGAGACACCTATGTGTGGATTTTACTGAGAGAAAAAAACGTTAGTGATTCGGACGAAAACGGTACATTTTCAGTTTCCAATGACTCTCTTGCTATAGAAGTTACCAAAGTTTGGCGGCCATTTTCTCACTAACTTTACCTCTTCAAATTAAAATATCTCGACTTCTATTTTAGATTCATGGAAAGCAAAACAAGTGAACACGCTTTACGATTATACCAATTATTCCATATGCCCTCAAATTGACGGGCTCCTGATTCCAGTGCAACGTGGCACAATAACTTCTCTTTGCCTTTACAAAGAGATGATTGGGCGTCCCGTTAGCTCAGTTGGTATAATGTTTGACTCTTGAGCCGATGGCTCTGGCTCGAATCCCAGACTGGGTATTCTTGAATTTGGGTCGTTTAGTGGAGTTTTATTTTTCAAGATTCTCAGCCCATTTGGCTATGTCCTATCTAAGATAGATGTTAAATTTTGGGGGTCCTGCCTTTTAAATAACCTTTTTGTGTTGATAGCGGCCTTAAACAAATGCAATTACTTTACTTACAAATGATTTCACCTTGTCTGTCAAGGTTCTACACTGAACGATACACTCACACAGCTCGGTGGAAATTTTTGTTCCTTTCGGCTACTTCTTAGAGTTTTTTGTTTGTTTTCGATCCACAGAACGACCAAAAAAAAATCAGTACGTGGACGCGGATATGGACCTGATAAATGCAAACAACGCTAACACCCAGATCTTGATCGGGAAAACCAGTGCGAAAACAATTACTCTTGACTCCCCTCAGGCAGGTTACGATGACGGGAGACGTTACGTCAACGTGTCGGTGACGTCACCAGAGTCAGGTATGGCTAAAAAAGGTAAATATAACACACTGGTGAGTCATACGTCATCGGAGGTCACGTGCTTTGGGACATTAAGGAGAAATGAGAGTCTGGGGAGTAAGCCAAAATGCATTGCATCATTTTAGAATCTGGAACTGGTAAAAAACATACCTTTTGAAAAAACTGAACTTTTTTTCCGTGCACTGAAGTTTTTAAATTCGATTTATAATTGGCCCAACAGCTTTTATGTCCATTCGAAAATACCTTTAATTTTTGTGTGGATTTTTACTGAAAATTAGGTTTATCAAAGACACAAGAAAATGCAGTTTCCAAGGACACTCACGCTTTTGGAAATCACCAATCTGTGGCAGGCTTTTTCTCGCTAATTGAACCTTCGACACCAGGTGTTCCCCACCTCCTCAAGTCTCAACTTCGTCCACAACTATGCAAGATAGACTGGCATTTGTTCATCAAAGCAAGACAGATTAACATACTTTAAGATACCTCCAATACCTCCATGTCCCCAATAATTGGTGAGCGCTAGATTCCACCACGTCGTGACACATATTTAAAGAATGGCTGGGTACCAGAAGGAAGAAGAGTATCAGTGAAGACCATCGGCGTCGCTGGTGTAGCGGCTAGGCGTTCCACCTTAGCACGAAGAAGGTGTGAGCTGTTGGACTCCTGAGTGTAGATTTTTAAAAGTTGTTCTGCATCAAGAATTTCCGTCTGTCTGCTTAGACGTTGTGCCTCTCTTATCTCGTATTGGCCCCAACAGGGACGGTCGACGAATCCCGCCTCATAACTGATCTAGCAGATTGTGTAAGTGGGCACGTATAACATCTAAATTTAAATTTCATGTAATTTCTTTTTTCAGTTTATACCACATTATCCCCATTAGATAGGAAGAATTAGCCATGAAAGAAGCTGCATAAAGAAAACCTTGAGACCATCTTAAGCAAAATTGACCGTCTGCATAGACAAAAAGAGCCTTATATACCACATTATCTAAGGTCTGGCTTCACATCAGTCAGAGATAGAGACCAGCTTAGTGTAAGCAGAGATAGTGTAAGAAATGACGCACAGAGCAGACAAAAAATAAAAACACAACATAATGCACACACACAAACACACACACACACACACACACACACGCACACACGCACACACACACACACACACACACACACACACACACACACACACACAAACACAAACACACACGGTTATCTGACTCGTTGTTGTGCGAAATCGTATATGGACAGGAACTGAATGTAGTACCAATGACATTAATCTGTCAGGTTTTCATTTATGGCATTGTCTTTAGAAATTAGAGGGAAATTCAAAGGTTATTTTTTTATATTTATTTTTTATAAATTATTTATTTATTTATTTTTACAGATGAGTACATGAGCTTTCAACCTAAAGCGGAGTATCTTAATGTTGACATTGGTGAGTACTTGTTTATTTTGTTTTCCGCTCGGATTTTACAGATAGGGGAAGATGAGAGAGGTTGCCACTAACTGTTATTCTATATTAATATTCAACTAATGTGATAAATACGAGCAATTTCTATCTCTCTCCCTCTCCCCCCCCCCCCCCCCCGCTCTCTCTCTCGCTCGCTCTGTCTGTCGTCTGGCTACCTCTCTCCCTCTCTCCCTCCCTCCCCCCTCTCTCTCTAGCTCGATCTGTCTGTCCGTCTGTCTACCTCTCTCCCTCTTCTCTTTACCTCTGTCTCTTTCCCTCTGTGTACACATATCTATTAGGCGTCGGTGGCCGAGTGGTTAGGCTCTCAGACTTGCAACCGTAAAGTCGTAGGTTCGAATCCCGTCAGGGACCGGACGTTGTGTCCTTCGGAAAGGCTTTTTACACAAATTATCCTCGCTTCATCCAAGTGAGAATGGGTACCTAGCCATAGACAGTGAAAGATCTTGCCAGTTTGCCAGTCTTTGAGCGCTTAATTAGCTGCTTGCACTGTATGCTTCCCAGGAAGATGAGATTTTTTTTGGAGTGTGCTATGATCTGCTTATGTAATAATATTATACAGTGTAAGGCGCATAGAGCTTGCTCTAGAGCGGGGTTATGCGCTATAGAAATGCTATTTATCATTATTATTATTATTAGTAGTATTATTACTATTATTATTATTATTAATATTATTACTCCCTGCTTACCGGTTTGTGTCGACAAAACCATAGTCTAACAATTTTTGGATTTTTAAACCTCTATTTGGTTTTGATATTCACAAACCTTAGCCGGGGTTATTGCAGTTTGTTTTATACTTAAATGAAATTTGTACTAATTGCGTGTTATTTTCTTAATTGAACATGTCGTTTTATAATAAAGTGTTAAAGCTCAAAATTGGTTTTTCATCGGTTTTATGTTATTTTTGTATCTTCATTTACTATAGTTATGCTTGAATGCTGAAATATAAAAAGTATCTTTTATATCACAGAAAGGAACGTACAGATCAAACATAATTAAACAATATTTGTTATATAGAAAGCTATTGTAATTTGGGTTGAAGAATTCCCAGTCGAACAACCAAGAGACTGACATAATCGTATAAAACTGACAAACACTAGGAAAGTTGTGGATCTTGTGGGCTGTTTTGTCTCTCCAGATGAAGACATGGATGGTCACTACTCCTCGCCCAGGAGCAATGCCCCAGTAAAGGGAAACTATGTGAACGTGCAGGTTGGTTCTGGGAACAGAATTTGGGGGAGGGGGGAGGGGGGAGGAGACATGGTGTTTCTGTAGAAGTGGAGGATAGATAGATAGATAGATAGATAGATAGATAGATAGATAGATAGATAGATAGATAGATAGATAGATAGATAGATAGACAGATAGATAGACAGATAGATAGTTAGATAAAGTGAAAGAGAGAGAGAGAGAGAGAGAGAGAGAGAGAGAGAGAGAGAGAGAGAGAGAGAGAGAGAGAGAGAGAGAGAGAGAGAGAGAGAGAATGAGGGAAGTCGGGACCGCCGGATAAGTAAGATTATCTGTCTTCAGAAACGTTGTATAACGTTGAATACATTATGATGGGAGAAGAAAACTTTCGATTAAATTCTCCATTGTAGATGTTTTCTACTCTCCCATCAACACTATTTGAATTATGATTTAGGAGGCAAGCTTTTTGACTGCTGCCTGTAATGACCAAACCTGGTTAAAGAGGAAACATTCCAGCTGAAAGACCGAGATGCTGGTAAAATTTTTCTTCTCACTCTGAAATTGAACTCGGGTCTCCTGCTTGAGATAGCCACGCACCCAACCTCTAGACTAAAGACGCAATTGGCTATAACATTTTTTAAATTATGACATGCAAAGACGATAATGAAGTGCAGTAAAACGACTCGGGGTTGTTTTTTTTCGTATTTCTCCGCAGAGACATGACAAGCAATGACTCAGTCCATAATACAAGGAGCACCACTGCAAACCTTACTGTATTCGCCACCTATGGACGTTCCTGGAAGACACTGTTCATTCAAAAATCTTATGATAATATTTAATTTTCTTAAGAAATGTATTATTTTTCCTGTCTTTCAAATGCAATGTGCCCTGCAAAAAATTAGTATTGTTGTTGTTGTTGTTGTTGTTATCGATCCAGCAACATCTGGGCTCTCGCCCTTCTGTCCAATGCCATGTAATGATAAGTGCAGGTTTGCTGCAGTTGCTGTAATGTTCCGTAGAGTGTGTTGTCGAAGATAGGTCTCGGAGGGAGAAGTGTATCTCTGATGAAAAAAAAATAGTATAATAATTATCAATATGTTTCGTTCGTGCTATTGTATTCAGACAATATCCCTCCCCCCCTCCTTTTTTTCTTAGTTAATTGATTTATTGCGTTTTACCATGTAGGCCTTTATTTGAACGGCGCGACAGCAACAAGAGATGAGAAGATAAGATTAGATAAGGAAACAACTTTATTACCAGATTCCTGATATATTGGTTTGATGTTTCACTACGTACACACACACACACACACACACACACACACACACACACACACACACACACACACACACACACATACACACACACATACACACAAAAAAGCACATACGCAGTGTGCTTGCACTCACAAACAGGCTTACAGCCACATGAACGAAAAAAAGAACAGTAATATAAACTATAATAATGTTAAACTAGATACTTACTCAGTATCCTGATTGTATGTAACTCAATAGTGTTCAGATGCATGCTCTTAGGTCATAATACTTAAAATAACATAAGATTAAGATGGTTGAGGTTTGATGGGTGATGGAAAGAATGACCTTCAGTATCTTTCTTTGTTACTGATAAGAAGCTTAGGTCTTTTACTTCTGACTGATATTTTTATTTGAGGGAATACGGAATGTTTATTGACCAAAAAGATGCAATTAATTTTTTGAAATGAAAAGCTATAATAATATACAATTAATCCATGTAGCAGAATGTAGATGTTGACATTTTGCATGATTTTCGTATTAATTGGTTTAATTTTTTAAAGATCTTGCTGTCATTTGGTCCCGGCCCATTCTGTTATTGACAGAAATTGACCATATTTTCTATGGTTGAATGATAGAAAACGGGACATCAATCAAATCTACTGGCTTGCAGTTCTCACACACAAAAAAGAAGCAAAAATATAAAGCTAATAGTGTATATTTTAAGCTGACCAAACAATATTGTGGTGGTCTCCATTGGTCGCTTTGTCAGTGGGCTCAGGCTCAGAATGATGTCAGGCGTCTGATCGGAGGAGGTCACTGCAGTGCGCCTTGTTAAAAAACAAGAAACAAAAACTAAAACAAAAACCCAAACAAGCAACAACAAAAAAAAACCAAACAAAGAGGGTGCTGCACATTAGAGACCCAAAATGGTGTGTGGAGTGTCTACGTTTCTGATATTGTAAGATAAGATACATCTTTGTTGTCCAGATCCTGGCACATTGGTTTGGTGTTTCACCACGTGTACACACACACACACACACACACACACAGACACACACACAAACACACGCACACACATGCACACACACACACACACACACACGCACGCACACACGCACGCACACACACACATACACAAACACATGCACACACACGCAGACTTGCAATCACTTGCATAATATAAATGAGGAGCAACATAAACAATAATAATCTTAAGCTAGATACATACTCAATGTTATTCTGATGCATGCTCTAAGGTCGTATGAATACATGTACATGTAAGATGGTTACTGCGGAAGAATTCTGATGGATGATGGTAAAAATGGCCTTCTCTATCGTTCTTTGTTACAGATCTGAAGCCTGGGTCTTTTACTTCTGACTGATGTTTTTATTTGTGCATTACTCATGTACTTTTACTTTTACCTATGTTTCTACACGCAGGAACCAGACGCTCGTCAATATTTGGGCATATGGAGTTTTTGACATCAGCTTAAAAACGTTTTCATTTCTATTGCTTCTGTTGAAAGAAACAATCATCCGTCTTGAATAGAAGTCGAGATATTTGGGATTAAAGTAAGTGTGTGTGGGGGGGAAGGGGGGGGGGGAGTCGACTGGTTACAGAGACAAAATTAGCTAGAAAATGGCTGCCAAAGTCTGGTAACTTCCATAGCTTGAGAGTCCTTGGAAATTGAAAATGTGCAATTGTTCTGCTTTCAATCAACGTTTTTCTGTAAAAATGCAACCTGAAATGTGTATATATTAGAAATATAAAGCGTTGAGCCAAAAAAAAAAACACAACAAAAAATCAACAAAAATTGACAAACTGGCTGAAAATGGCCGGTTTCTTCGATTTCTGTATTTTGACGAGCGCCTGATTTCACCACTATGTCCCACCTGTGTATAAAATCGAATGTATTTTTGTATGTAGTTAAAACCCCGTGCACGGGAACTTGGAAAACGTTGACAAGAAATAGAAAACTGTTTCATGTAGCATGTTTAACCGTGCCGTTTTAACGTTTTATTTCGAATTTTAGAATTAAGATGTTCCCACGTTGTACAACATTATGTCACCTTCCCGGTTACTTCATTAAATCTGGGTTTAGATAATTACAAGATAATGTATATGGTATACACGTGAACGAACGAATAGCGAATAGACATGGACAGAAGAGAGCGAAATTCGTAATTATTGTCAAATACATATTTTTTTAACATTAATTTTCCTGAGCTGAAACTTCGAATTTCTCGGCCTTTTTTTTATCATAAAACATTTTTTTAAAATTGCTACTCTTTCGGTTTCAAAGTTTATAAGGTTATAAATTCTTGAAGTTAATAGTGTAGTTTTAGGTTTAGTTAATAAAAGAGAACTGCCAATTAATGATGTGTACATAAATCATATCTATAAATAGCTACCTTGCAATAACAAAGTTATATATTATGACATTTTGGCCATTTTGAGCTACTAAAACCATGAGGCCGGAAACTAATACATGCTCTGTCTGCTCTATCAAAAGCGTAAAATTGTTCGGAGGGCAGTTATCAAGATATTCCACACCTCTGTGATCAGACCTCGTAAGTGACAAATTTTCCGAAACTGACTTTTTCACACCATCACATTTTAATGATTGCGGTTCACATGCGAACAGAAGGTTTACGTGAAAAAACTGCATAAAAGTGTCTTTTATCGTAAGTAAACAAAACTCGTAAGTCCACCCCTACCCAAACGCGGTTGGGATCAGAACTCGTAAGCGCTATCCAGCCGCTCCCGAGCTTTGAACACAACGGAGGGCGGTGATTCGAGACGAGTCATTGGCGCTTAGAAGTGGTCAATGCAACCCCTATCCACCTTTTGTACCTGATTCACCATATTTTCCCGTTCCCACACGTTTTACATCAGTAACAATCAACGGATTGTCATCTTTTGTCGAATCTGCTTCACTTCTGATATCTACTTCACCACATCCATCTGTGCCCCTTATGGTCAATCCTGAACTATCTTCTCTATCTGTTTCCATGGTGATCACTCCATAATATGCCATTAACCTCTGACCCAGGACCATCCATTGCCGAGGCTGCATTAGCTCTGAAACCTCACTGTACGTTCAGTCGCCTTATGTCTCACTCGAGGTCGACCCTGCATTACCTTTCTGGTCAGATTCCACTCATCTGTCTGCTCATATTCCTCTTATTGTGGAAGCAACGTGGTTTTCTAAGACGGATTCACCAATACATTGTACAATGTTATGTCGTCTGAACCAGATCATGTGAACAATCTGACCTTAACAAACAAAAATTACTGTGGAAGAAAGTACCAGCAGAACGGAAGCAGAATTACTAAAGAATATCTTTATACAGGCATCTCTAGGTATGAAATGGATGTTGAATATCTTTTCGAAAAAGAACGCCAGAACTTCCATGTTTGCAAAAGCCAGTACCCCAGGGCAACAGCTCTTGATGATTGATGTATCAGGAACATTGTCGTGGATGGGGACACTTCTGTCTACAATGAAACTGCCAGTACAGAGCGTTGCCCAGACACTGCTGCAAGAGACAACTCTCACTACAAGAAAGCATCCGAGCAGAAAACATTTCTTACAGAAGATTTCTTTGCAAAACTGTCCAAATTGGGTTCTCATTATTGTCGAAAACAAAGCAGGAAAGTTGTATAATATTATCAAACTTCACAGAAGTATATTATTGTCCTTTGTCATCAGAAAAAAACACTTTTGGCCATCTCGGCATATAGGGACATTTCCCAGGAACAAAATAATATGTCTGTTAACGCGTCAGTGAGACCTGTGTGTAGGCCATAAAGGCGAAAAAGTCGGTGATGAGATTTGGAAACGTATCAGTGAAGGAAAGTCGCAAGCTCAAGCTTGAAAGGGCAACAATAAGAAACGTTAAAAATCTGTGTTATCGCCACCGACCTTTAATCTGCCCTCTTGGCGCCTTGTCTACAAGCTCCATCGCTTTTTTACAATACTAAATTGTCCGTGCACAACTTTACAACAGATAACTTGGTGACAAAGGATGTGAGATGCTACATTTGATATAAAGGGGAGAAAGAATTGTCGGGCAGTTTGCGATATGAATCATTGACTTCAAACTAAAGCCAAATGTAAAACAGTGATGTTCTATTTAGACGTTTGCTGTTAGTGTTACCATAATAGAAATGCTGTTCCCCACGAAGTATTTTATCCACAATGTGTGCGCCATTACAAATAGCACTCTATTCAATCTCATCTGTTTCATCATAATTGTACTTATCCTCGTATGTGTGTGTTTCTATGTCTGCTTGTGCTATGTGTGCGTGTGTGTTTGTGTGTGTGTGTTTGTATGTGTGCGCGTGTGTGTGTGTGTGTGTTTGTATGTGTGCGTGTGTGTTTGTGTGTGTGTGTGTGTGTGTGTGTGTGTGTGTGTGTGTGTGTGTGTATATGTGTGTGACTTTGGAGATCTTTGCCTGGTGCCAAAGTTCTCC